ACAGTCATCTTCCAGAAATTTGATCTTGTCATTTCCCTGATTAACTTGTTCTTTATATCTCTCAGAATAAGATCTAAACTTCTTGATGCCTTATGAGTCTTCAAGGTCTCATAGCTTCCTCTGTTGCAAACTAACTTTCTTTGTTTCTGCTCCTTTCTGTTCTTTCCTGGCTTCCTAAATTCTAGTCATACTGAATTACTTTTAGTTCTTCTAATGTATGATGCTTTTTTGACTCTCTCTCCTCCCATGGCACCTGTTGTTACTTTGAACTGACTAGTGCTATCAGATCCCACCTCGTGTGTCACCTCTGAAAAGTTTTTTTGACCATGCATTTAAATTCTGTGACTATAGCATGCACCATGCCATATAGGAATTGCCTAATTATGGAACTACATCCCTTTAAGGGAGCATTCCATCAGGTCAGAAGCTCAGTAGGACCAAGAACTATTTTGTCCCCAGCATCTAGCATATTATGAAATAGGCATTTAGTCAGTATTTATTAGATTAATTGATATTTCTGCAGATGACATTGCCTCATGTTTTCCTGAGAGGCTACAGACCTTCTGGTTTAATTCCCTCAACTTCCTGGATTCCCACCAGTCTTAAACGTTTTATCTTTATCCTTTTTCTTTTTTGTTAAAGATTTTATTTATTTATTTGAGAGAGAATGTGCATGAGCAGCAGGGAGGGGCAGAGGGAGAAGTAGACTCTCTGCTGAGCAGGGAGCCCGATGCAGGGCTCAGTCCCAGGACCCTAAGATCATGACCCGAGCTAAAGGCAGACGCTTCACGAACCAAGCCACTCAAGCGCCCCTATCTTTATTCTTTTATACTCCTTTCCTACCGCTTGGCAAGATAAATACTTTAAAGTATAAAGTGGGAGATATAAATACAGTAGGAATAGAGGAATATTAACTATCTTTCAAAAAGTTTAGTGGTGAGATAAAAGACGATAGGACACTAGATAGATACAATATCAAAGTAAGGTTGTTTTGCAGGATAGGGTTGCAGGATAGGTTGTTTTGTAGGCTGAGGAAAGAATATAGTGAAAAATACAATCAAAACAGTAATAGAGGAAGGACAACTGATGAAGCAAGAGCTCTCTCTCAGCAGAGAGGTAGGGTACAAGGCTGTTTCAAGATTGTTTCAAGGTTGTTTCACTTTTCTTTTGCTGCAGCTTTCAGATTAATGGGCCAACTCCTCAGCACAGACTACTGGGTCCATACAGTGGCATCTGTGTTTTGGCCTCTTCCATGCCGATGAACACGCAGTTTTCCTATTAAAAGCATCCTAATTTCACTTGGAGGATAAGCCCTCTCCAACTCTGGTTTAGTTGCCTCTGTTTGCTTGTACTCCCTGATCCTTATTAACTACAGACATCATCTTTTAGCACATGGATTTCTTTGTGTTTATATTGGTGATTTCCATGTGTGGTTCATGGAAGTACTTAATATCTGATATTAAGTTATTTTAAAAAACTCTTTTTTCAAGACTCTTTAAAAGACTGATTTAAAACTAAACACACACAAATGTATTGAAAATCAAATTTTATTGTAATGAAGTTTTGCCGGGTTTAGTTTCATAAAAACCTGAGAAAAAACACTCCCTGGCATTTATAGGCATATAATTGAATTTTTATAAAATGTTATTGATTAGGAAAGTCATTCTGGATTAACCTTTAAGAAAATTTTATCTGTGTATGTGTACTTATTTAAATTAGCTTGAGTAAGTGTTCTGCTATAAGGCTACATTACTTAAAGTAAAACTCGGCACCTGGTTGGCTCAGTTGGTTAAGCATCTGACTCTTGATTTCGACTCAGGTCATTATCTCAAGGTTGTGAGATCAAGCCCTGAGTTGGGCTTACATGCTGGGTGTGGAGCCTGCTTAAGATTCTCTCTCTCCCCCTTCCCATTTCCTCTCTTTTTCACTCCCTCTTTCTTAAAAAAAAAAAAAAAAAAAAAAAAAAAAAAAACCTCAAACATGCTCCAAGACATGGAAAGTCTGCTCCTAGTGGAGCACATTGACAATGTGCTGTTCTCATTGTACAGGTATAATAATTGCATAGTAACAGTTGAATGGGGATCATGCAAGATGATTATTTTAATTTTCACAAGTTTAAGGAGTGCTCCTTTACTTCTACATTTCTGGTAGTTATTATAAATATAGCTTTTATACATTATATATAACATGTATATACTGTCTGTATGTGCTCCTGTGTGTTTGTGGTTTGTGTGTACGTATATTCCACTGCTGAAAGGCATAAAAACAAAAACTGATCTGATTAAACCACTCAATTCAGTAACCTTGTTGCTGTATCTATTGACCACTGTTTCTTAAATACTCTGTACTTACTGATCTATTTAGTTTTTGATAGTTGATGACTATCCTCCTTAACACTCTTTTACCAGAATGTTTCTTTTTTTTTTTTTTTAAGATTTTTAAAATGTATTTATTTGACAGAGATCACAAGTAGGCAGAGAGGCAGGCATAGGTGGGGAGGGGAAGCAGGCTCCCTGCTGAGCAGAGAGCCCAATGTGGGGCTTGATTCCAGGACCCTGGGATCATGACCTGAGCCGAAGGCAGAGGCTTAACCAACTGAGCCACCCAGGTGTCCCCATCCTACTTTAAAAAGATTCAGTGGCAAATTTAAAAATTGATAAAATGTGTGTGTGGGGGGTGTGTGTGTGTGTGTGTGTGTGTGTGTATGTAGAGAGAAAGCGAGAGCATGCACTAAAGCATATGGCAAATATTAAAAATTGGCAAATTTTGGCAAAGAGTATATATACACATATGGTATTGATTTTTCAATTTCTGTGTATGCTGAAATTTTTCAAAATTTAATTCAAAAAGCAAAATAAAAATCAGAGACACCAGAAAGCAGAAACAGCAACTACCCCTCACTACAACTCACTACATTTTGAGTTAGTATGACAATTCACTACACTTTTAGGCAGGCCTGGTTTTAACAGTAACAGTTACGTAAAAAGTCACGTTGATCCTGTATTTTTAGGACCATAAGCTTATGTGGATTGATCTCAAGTTTAATTTTAGCTTTATTAGTTGGTGAAATCAGAAATCAGGGGAAAAAAAGGCAAAATAAAACCCAAGGCTGATGATACTAAGGGAAACTTATACACATATCATTCATGCTACTAAAATAGATAAAGCAGTTGGGATAGCAAACTGACATCATGCATCAAGAGACCTAAAAACGTTCATGCCTCTTAATCCAGTAATCTTACTTTTTAAAAATAAATTCTAAGAAAACAATTTAGAAAAGAATAACTAAATCTGATCCCAGGATTGTGGTTGGTAATATAGCATTCTTTGGTTCTGTGGACAAAAAAACGAAAACAACAGCAAAGTATCCCCTCTCTAAAACCCGCAAGTTCTTTAAAAACAACAACAACAAAAAAACCTTTTCCTGATATTAACAAACAAAAACTTTCTCTTTTTTGGGTTTGTGAATTGTTTGTTTTTCTGAGCTTTTCTTCCTCTTTTTTTCCCCCTGGCCTCTGGAATGCAGGTGGTGCCCAGCGATCTGCCCCTCACCCACATTTCTCCTCTCCTGGTGGCAGTTTTTATGCAGATCTCTGAAATTGAAATTCCAGTCCTGTCTTCTTACCAGAGCTCCATTTATGATGCTTACAATCCAACTGCTCCCTTTTTGTCTCTTGAATATCCTGCTCTATGTTTCAACTCTTTATATCCAGAAATAAAAATCTATCTTCTATATTTCCCCCTTAAAGTTATTTTTTATTCATATTCTGTCAACTCATCTTGAAATCTTCAGCTTGAAATTCTCCCTCTTTCTTACTCTAACCTCAGAACCCTCATGCGGTGGGCTTGTAGTATCACTCTGGTGTGTCTTCACTCTGCATGTGGTTACCCTCGTTTCAGTTTGTTTTTTTATTCGAAGAATGTTTGTGATAGGTCCTTAATTGATCTCCCTGCATTCTCTCTCCTCTCTAGAGGAATCTTGTCAGAGAAGTCTTCCTAAAGCACAGATCAGACCATATCACTTTCCAGATTACAAATCTTCAAGAGGTTGAAGAGAGGTTGAAGAGAGGTTCTTGAACTCCATCATCTGGTCTTCAGAGTCCTCCACTACATAGTTTCAACTTACTTTCCTTTTTAAATTTTTCTCCCTCATATCTTTTTTCTCTTACTCCTTCATACTTTTCTCTGAGCCTTTTGTAATTTTCTGGCCTCTACCCGACCGTTGCCCTATTTTCACATTTCCAGATCTCATCCGTGCTTTAGAAGCTGACTTTCAGATTTGCCTTCCAGCTGGAAGTAATCTTTTCTTCCTGGGAACTCCCAAAAGCTTTTTCTGTGTCTTTGTTACTGTGCTTAGCATCCTTTCCATTGTACTGTGATTATTTATGTACACATTACTGGTAAGGTTGTTAAGTTCTGTAAAGCTTGTACTCATGTCTTATTTTTCTATTCCTATGTCTGATATGTAGTTCTTAATGGATATTTACTAAGTAAACAGCATGTAAAGAGTTGTCTTATTTTAGTAGGTGTTTCTTTGTTGAGAAAAAGGAACAAAATTTTGAGGATACTTCTTGAATATGTCAAAGATGGAAAAAATCATATGTTCCCTAAGGACCTACAGAAATATTTTTGGAAGTAATACATAATGCAAATAAATTTGCCCAAAAGATATATGTAGCTGAGACCTTGGATCACTAATTCAGGCCATTTGCAGACAGATGAAACTTAATTTTTTAAGCCATCTAGAATAGAAGATAGACTTCACAGTTTGTTCAGTCATTTAAATAGTTACTGATACAAGCAGAAACTTTTTTCTTTAGTATTTCTGTAATATATAGCTCACATTTCATGTACTGTAATTTACTTCTTGATAGAACTTTTAAAGGATCTTCTAAATTCTTAAATGGCTCTAGTCCCCCTCTTGCACTTTTTATTGATTCTTTTTTTCCTCTCTGTTTCTCCTGGCAAAACTTACATTTAGATAATGCTCTGTTTTACAGGTATCATGGTCAGATATAGGAGGACTGGAAAATATCAAACTGAAATTGAAACAGGCTGTGGAGTGGCCCTTGAAACACCCAGAGTCTTTCATTCGAATGGGCATTCAGCCACCTAAAGGTGTTCTTCTGTATGGACCACCTGGATGCTCGAAAACAATGATTGCAAAAGCTTTGGCCAATGAGAGTGGCCTGAATTTTCTGGCTATAAAGGTAAGGTGTTAAATTTTTTAATTGCCACTTTCTCGTTCCAGCCCCACTAACACCCATCATCTGATTCTTACCCTTAGAAAAACATGAAAAGGCATCTTAAGGAGTAGCTGATTTTTTTTTCTTTGAGGTTGATGGCAATATAATATAAGGGGATGAGCTCTAAATAAACTAGTGCTTGTAATCAGCAAAAATGCTGGACTATAGAAGACTACATTATTTAGTTTTGTGATTCTCAATATTTCTTATATCCATGTATAATAGGAACCAGTCTTGTTTAGTTCCTGTTTTTAATTGTGCTAATAATCTCTTTTGCTTAGTTAAGACTTAATTATAAATATGAGGCGGATTTAATATTTATATAAAGTTTTTCAAAGAAATTAAATAATTTATATGGTAAAACTAAATTCCTTAAAACATGTTTCTAGTCAAGGAATATCTGTACAAGTTTTATATTCTGAAATACACACATATGTTATTTGTTCATTGCCCTACCCCATTATTTGGGGTAGATAATCTTACTTGACATGTAGTTTTTTTGACTTTAGGCCTAAATTTTTTTTTTTAAGGTTTATTTATTTATTTTAGAGAGAGAGAGCATGTGGACAGGTGGAGGGGCAGAGGGAGAGAGAATCCTCAAGCAGACTCCCCCACTGAGTGTGGAGCCCAACATGGTCCATCCTAAGACCCTGAGATCATGACCTGAGCTGAAATCAGGAGTTGGATGCTTAACCAACTGAGCCATCCAGCCACCCCAGGGCCAGATATTAATTTTCTAATTAATTTTTATGCAATATGGTCATCTACCCAGTTACTAAATATACATATATAAAACCTTAAATCCATTAGTGGAATGGACTTTATCATAAAAATATGACTTCAGTCTGTTAAATATCAAATTCATTTCAGAAAAAGCACATGATAAAAGGCTCTGTTTTGGTAGTGTCAGGGATTTTTTCCATAATAAAATATGTTTTCTATCTTAGAACACTGAATGAAATCCTTAGCAAATTGAAAGCATAAAATTTATTTCAGTGTAGAGTCAACTTTTTACTTAAATTTTCTTTTTGGAATAATGTTTAGATATGTTTAGGCTTTTTAAGAATCAGTATCTTCACAATCACTAATGTTTGCATATTTGATATTATCTTGTGAAATATATTAAATACTGAAGATAGAGTCAAAGACCATTTTCACTATGATCACTTAAACTGAATCACAACCACAGTTTTAAAGTTTGCAGCTTTAAATGTTGGGGTAATGAGTGATTTTGAAATTTCAGAGGCATCTTGATTTCTCTTTGTTCCCTGTTCTCTATGTCATAGTAATGGACATAGCTGTTTTACTGGAACTTCCTACTCATTTTACTGTCATCTCCCACTTTTCTATGCCTACCTTGTTGCGTATTCCACAGTAGTATATTCATAACCCTTGAATTTTTTTTTTTTTTTCTGTCTGCTGGATATCTGAAACTTATTATTTACACTGGAATCTCAAAGAGGAGCACATGTATTTTCCTATGAACTAGTATCTCATTCTTATGTAATCTAAGATAACTGTTCCAGATGTTACCAGGACTACTTTCTGGCATATTTTAGGATTACTTAGAAATACATTTATCACTGTTTTTGAGTATGAAACATTTCAGAACTTTAGGCGGTTCTACTTTTTTCACTGTGAGAAAATGTGCAAAGATTCTTTGAAAGGTTTATCTTGCACACTCTTCATGTAAAATAGCAATGCTTATGTTAACTTATTTGAGCTTTTTCACTAAACTCATGTTCATTTTTCTTTTAGGTCATACACACACAAAGGATAAGTGATGTTAAGAAATTTTTTTATTCAATTGAGTTCATACTTGCTTAGTATCCTACTTTACTAGTTTTTATTTAAGGTGGATTTTTATTCACTGTACATTTTAATATAGTTTGGCAGTGTTATTCAATTTTTTAAACTGGCTGGAGATTATATTTAATAAACAATGAACATTCATTCTACTATTTTTTAAGTTTTCCTACATGTTTAAAAATCTCCAAAATAAAGAGTTGGGAACATGAAATAATTTGTTTTTCTCTGCATTTTCATCAGTTTTTTCATCTTGTCTCATCATTGCTTATTAGAAGGGTTTAAAGTAGCTATGTCATATAGCTTATGTATGAAGAAATGAAGTCAAAGAAGTTGGGAATTTATAATATATTCTTCCTAGTTTTGTGTTGTTGTTGTTGTTGTTGTTGTTGTTGTTGTTGTTTTCTATGAAGAAAAGTTGGATTTTGGTTGCAACATATGTGTTTCTTTTCCCAGGGATTTAAGTGTTAAGTTTGAGCTTTTGAAATCACAAGTCTGCCAGAGAAATGTAGATAGTGCAATTTTCTAGCTTATTGGAAAATACAAGTATCCTACATGTATTGAAAGGAAAAATTCCCTAACCTTTTTTACAGTTGTAATTACCTTTAATTCCCAAAATAAAGAATTTAAAGATTTGAAACATTTCTTTCTCTGAGTTTATGAAAGAACCATTTGCAATCCCCTCTGCATCTTTTCTAAACAGTGATTAAAAGATGTATACTTAGAGTTTAGACTTCACCTTGGCTTATGTGGACTCTTAATATCCTTTGGCACCTGTATGTGTTTTTGTGTAGACTGTAGCACTTGACATATGCTTAAATTTAGTTTGTCATCTGTGTCAATTATGTCAAAATATTTTCCAGTTGAAATTTCCTTTCTGCTTCTCTCTTGCTTTTGTCTGGAGTGCTGCAATAGATTAATTACCCTAGGGTAGTTGGGCTGCTTTACCTTGTGAAGAACTGTTAACTGATTCTGGAAGAAGGGTGGTTAGGCATTTGACAAGGATTCTGAGCAAGTCCTTTAGTAGCTGTTATTGGTGAGTACTAGAATGTAATGAGCTTAGGGTATGCTTGACTTTTTTGGGGAAATTTTCTTCTGTTACTTGTCTCAAAGAGGAATTCTATAAAATACATCCCATTTTCAGGAAACTGATTTATTCAAAGCATGCACGATTCTAAGTACTTACTGTTCTTTATTCAACTAGATCTACTGTTCTATTATCAAAGGTACAAAATAATTTGAATTTGGTAAGTTCCAAGTTTATCTTTAAGCTTTTGTTTTAAAATTTTGTGGGGTAGTCTATAAATCATAGAGTTTCCATTTTGCAGATACTGTGTGGAAAACTGCATAGAGACACCTCTTTATATACTTAATGCTTTAAGTTTAGTTTCTAGGATTGCAAATGAGGATAATAGTGTTTAAGATAGTGAAATAACTTTTCCAAGGTTGGAGTTGTGGAGATGAAACTGAAATTTGGTCTCAGGACTTTCTGAGTGTAGAGTCTAGCTGTGAACCACTGCATTATACAGTCTTTTATTCCTTTTATTCCCCTCCCCCCTTCTTTAATTTAATTTAATGTCCAGTCCTTTTTTTCGCTAATTACACCATGATACTGGAGAAAGTAGTTCAGGCAGTTTCTATAGGACAGGTTCAGAGAAGTGGAAAGATGTTTCTGGGACAGTTAAAAAAAAAAAAAGATTTGTTTCTGTAGGACAAAGAAAACTGAGAAAAATAACATGGCTTTGGGGTAGGAGTTGGTGAAATTAATAAGAAAGAATAATCATTGCCAAAGAAACAGGAACCTGATGAATAAGATGGAAGTATATGGAAGGAGACTAGTGGTTGAATAAGGTGGAGCTTGAAATTTACCTATTACTATATAATTTGTGATCTTGAAATTATGTCACAATGAAAAGAGTACTAAACCAGGATTCAGATAGCTTTGGTTTGATTCTTAATCCTTGGACTTTTAGCTCTGTAGACTTAAATAAGTTCTCTTGGTCTCAGTTTTTTTTGTTTTTTTAATCTGTATAAGCTCTTTGAGAGGATTAGTATATTAAGAAGTAACTGAAAAAGTTTTGAAAGGCGTAACTACTCAATTCTTTAAGTGCAGGCTGCGTACAGTTAGGACTTCCTGTCAAAGAGTTCAATATGAAAAGGGGATAGGGGAAGAGTTACTTACTTGACAGTGTAGAAACTGGCACACACTACCTCAGCCAGGTGGTCAAGGTTAACATATTCAGTGATTAGTCATGTTGATGGTGTATACCTTTGTATGATGTGACAAGAATGGCATTTTATTTTTGGGGTCTTCCTCTATAAGACTCATAATCTGTCTGACCATGAGAAAAGCTTCAGGCAAAACCAAATTGAAGGCATTCTATAAAATATCTGACCATACTCCTGAAACTGCCAACGCCATCAAAAAGAAGGAAAGTCTGAGAAACTCACGGCAAAGAGGAGCCCAAGGAGACATGACAGCTAAATATAATGTTACAGTGGTTCTCTGGATGAGATCCTAGAACAGAAAAAGGACATTAGATAAAAACTAATCTGAATAAACTATGGATTTTCATGAGTCAGTATTGATACATTATTATTAGTTGATTATAACAAATGTACCATTCCAATATATGATGTTAATAACTGGGGAAACTTAAGTGTGCAGTGGGGGTTGCAAGGTGGTATAGGAACTCAGTACTATCTTAATTCTTCTGGAAATCTTAAGCTTTACCAGAAGAGGTCTGTTAATTAAATAAAAGAGTTTTAAGGTCAGTATCACGGATCCAGACATAGTACAGACATTTAATGAATGTAACTGAAGTTAAAAAGCCTGGCGCATAGCTCTGTACTACATTGTATGGGAAGAGTGGAATGTATGGAAGGAGAAAAGCCATGGGGGAGATTGCCAATTCCTTGGGTGAGGGCTTTGGGGGAGACCTTCTTTCCTATTCATCATCCTGCTGCTCATGGTGATAATGGAAAGTTCCTGGGAAAAGAAAGCCCTGAGAGGAAATTGGCTGGGGAATCTGGGATTAGGGCTTCCTTGAGCTTGCCTGTTTCACTGCAGTTCTCAGTTGAAGCCTATAAAGGAGTGTGTTGGTTCTGGCCCCAGACCCTATCATTATAAAGAATACTTTCTTTTAGTGTTTTGGTTA